ATCTGATAAACTAATACCGAGGTCCCAAAACAGTGATGAATCGATATAAGCTCTGTATATCTATTGTGTTTATTTTTTTTTTTTTCCCGGGCGAAGTCGGATTACTCGGCTGTTATTTACTGTAAAGTCGTCTCCGCGTTTAGTAATAATAAACACCGCGTGATGATATAATAATGGTGGTCACGTATAGTAGTAAGGTATTTATGTTTGTGGAAGTCATGTCACTGTCGCCGACGAGAGGTGCCTGTGCACAACGCCAGGTCGTAGCCGTGTGGGCTCGAGAAGACGACGACTACGACGGCCGTCGTACGAATCGCGTAACTTTATTTAATAATATAAATATCATGTTGGGTAGGTATAGTATACGAACGATAAAACAATTATCACGAATATTATCGTGTGATATACCTATCGCGCATCATCCCGTTGCGGACGTGCACTTGACGATCACACCGGCCCCCGCACGGCCCGTCAGTAAAATGTGCGTATTGTACGCAGAGCATCACGACCACCGCCTGCACGCGCGCGCCGTGCACAGGTATACGATATAGCGTTTGGTGTACAATATACTATGATATTATAATATAATGTTTGCCCGAGTATGAAAGACGGACGAGTAAAGGATTTTTGTTATTTTTTATTTTTTTACGACGCTTTTAGGCTGTACAAATACACTCGGCGCTATTTATAAACGCGCTTTAATGTGTTTCCATCATACATTACGTAGTATACGTACCACCTATGTGCGTGTGTATACCTGTAAGTATATATTATTATTATTATTATACAGTGGCGTGTTGACCGTGATTTTGAAGGGCAGATGCCCGATCATTTTTAAGGGGTGGGTGCTGGGTTGGTGGGTACTGGATTTAGTAAGAAATATTATTATACAAGACTACCTGACTACATCATCTGAATTAATTTGTTATTTAATAAGAATAATAACTTCAATAGTTATAATTATGCTAAGAAAAGCTATCTAATAGTATACCTACATATTATTAATTACACATTATACTACAGTGTACATTCTACGAATAAGCAATAAATTAAAATAAGAAATTATAGTATTATGCTAGTGACTATGAGGGCATCGGCATAGGCATTCCGGCATAAGCATCTTGAGAATATTATATTATTGCGATATAATCTATTTTTAGAATCATAAACTCGGAAATATCCAGGTTTCAGCCGTTTGTAAAATAAAGTAATTTATATTGATTTAATAAAAGTACTTTTTTGTTGTATATAGTATGGCACATGGGTCATGGGTAGCGGGTACTGTGTAAGAATTAAGGGGTGGTAGGTTATTCAAAAAATGAATTGCCCGATAAAATATTTCACTTCGCCACGCCACTGTTATTATATTCACTAATGGTTTTTATATACATTTATTTTTTTCCGTCTGGCCTTCTTTGAATAACGTAAAGTCTCGCCGAGGTATAATAATAATAATAATAATAATATATAGACAGAGAGAGAACCGGTTTTCTGTACCGCACGACCGTTTCCACCCACCGCCCGATCGTCATTAAAAGGTATTCCGAAAAGTCGGCGGACGAAAAATAATACGTGAAAAAACAACCGACGACAAACTTTTCCGGGGACCGATAGAAAATAAGTGCACCTACGGGCGGTATAATTTCTCGACCAGAAACCCGCGTAGTGTGTGTACCACACTGGTAAATTTATTTCAAATGATATACACCAAAACCTCCATAAATTATAATCAGAGGATTCTAATGGATATATAAAATTCAAACTGGTTTCCATATATTTTATATTATTTTTATAAACGCGCGCACTAACATGATATATCGTAGTATGACAGGTTTTTTACTTATAATTTTATGTTGGTTTTTTTTTTTTATTTTATTAATGAAATCCACATCCGGTGCAAAGCACTTTACAATTTAATAGAGTTACTTGCTCGCGGATTTTCGACAATCCTATCGCGTACAACAGTGCGCAATGTGTTTTTTTCGTGACTACTTCACTAAAAACAACATATTTTATGATTAACGTTATTAATTGAAAGACTCGATAACTGCGGATTTAGCCTATAACGTGATGGGATATCGGCACAGACGTTTTTAAACTGGTATTTTTCATTGCACGTGTGTGCAAACTCTGTAACAATAAAACCATACATCCATACCTAAACCTTCTAGGTATAGGTACCTATATAGGCTACACTCACAAATATATATATATATATATATATATATGACGCGTCGAACAGAAAACGTAAACGACGTGTAAGTAAAAAAAAAATAGTAGTAATAAACAACGTCAAATTTATGTATACCGACCGATTATGTTAATCCTAAGTCCGAAGCTCGTATGTATATTACATGTATGTATGTGCTTATACTTTTATCGGATTATAGAAAAAAATAAAATACGTGTTATGATATTTTAGTAATTCGTTATGCGTGTATTTTATATACTTTTATTATGTCTATATATAAACGCCATGCATATATTATACATGGCGTATATATATTTGACGGGAATCGCACAGCGTGGGGTTTTCAAAAAAATAATCCCCGAGCCGGGGGATGTATGTGTGTATACTGGTTAAAAAACAAATTACTTATTAACATTTTATTTTCTTACCCGCACACCGTTCGCTCACTGCGCATATAAAGACATTACTGTAATATCTCATAGTATATACAGAGTGGTTCACCAAGCGTAGGTACTCACTCCCCATTTCAATATAATACAGTTATTTAAAATCTGTTCTTTGAAATTTTAAATCTTATATTTAAAGATTGTTTTTTAAAGTTTTAATAATCTATATGAATATACATCATATATCTATTTCATAATTTTGTAAGACCATTTTTAAGGACTACTATATTGAATATACATTTTTGAATAACTGAAAAACTACTCGTTTGAATTTTGAGTTTAAACATTTTTTTTTTTTTTTAAGTTATTCGTTAAATAGCTATTGCAGCAAGAAAATGAGGTTCTCGTTTTTAAAACGAAAATTTGTATCGGTACAGTACAGTGTTTGTACCGCTCCTCGAGTTGCACGAAATAATCTCAAGAATTCAAATAAATACACATTATTATAATATATATATAAAAAAAAATAAAAAATTGGCGTTCGCGTTTAGTGAATCACTCTGTATGCGCATACGTACGCAATATAATAGTAATATGTAATAACGCCGAACGGAGGACCTCTGTTGCGCGGGAGAGACGAACAGATAATAATAATAATAATATAATATAATATATTATATTATTACATGGGTACCTATTGAGAGACAGAGACAGAGACTTGACTATGTTGCCGCCCGGCGCGCGCGTATCAGAACCGGTCTGTCCAGAGGCGATGCTGAGGTGGCAACGTGGCATTTTGGGGCCTGGCCTCCGTTGGACAGAATGAGGTTGTTGCATGTATATTGTATATAATAATAATAATAGTAATAATAATATATACCTTGTGTGTACGATGTTACACGGTTAGTGGCTATACACATCGCCGCCGCGGACATACTCAATACTCGCGTATATATACATATATATATATATATATATATATATATATATATATATATAATAATATATTAATATTATGTATATACGACGACGACGACGGTAGAATACAGAAAGAACAACGTAGGTATACGTATACCGCGCCGACACTATGCGTGTACAAGATAAATTGAATTTCCAACAGTCCGAGAGCGAGTGCGGCGTAGCCGAGAGGAGACGCGATGTTTCGGAATGAAAAGGCTTATGCGCGTACAGTGATTTCTCGTGGCCATGAAACGTTCATCGTCATTATAATATTATCTGATGCCGTAACGCTCGTACACGACACCCAATACGCATATAGGTACCTACTTCGCACTACTATACGATAAAACACGGTATCATAATATAAATGACTTCGATGCGACTTCATTATATACCTGCGTTGTTTTCTCGCATACGTTGTCTGCCCGCGTCGTGTCCCGCCTGCAAAGTTTGTCTCGATCCCGTCCCGGAAATTTACCCCGGGTAGATCGTGGTCATCGTCGACCGCGGTCAAGTAGAGTCGCCGAAACCACTCGGAGACTTCGACGGGGGCGATGTGAGATGAAATAATGCACTGCGATTGTGTGTTGTTTTTTTTTAGTTTTAGCCCACCTCCTTCGTTTGACGTTACTTCTGACGCGCGTCCGTCGATGATTACCTGCCATGTGTATACTACTATACGCAAGTCTTGCGTGCGGGGGCGGCGAGAGGACAGGTGGCTTGTACGACTACGCGTCGCTACTTCTACACCCACTATTCCGCCCCGACTTCGTAGCTACCGACGCTCCCGCCTCCGCCGTGATTGTTACTGTCCGTTGTCACGGTCGCCCTCAATCCCCCGCCCATTCCACAACCCTTTCCGTCTAACGTATCGCCGTCCACGGTCGTCAAGTCGTGACCGGACGAGACTATTCAAATTTCTTCACGTACGTCGGTCACCGCGGTGCGCGCCCAATTCACCAACCACCGACAAAATGTTTACACATTTTATATAATGTGTGTGTATGTGTGTGTGTGTGTGTGCGGAATGCGGGGTCACCCTTTTTTTTCTGCAATATTATATCATTATCATTACGACCATTATTATAGTCTGTTATACGATAGCAACGATGTAAATAATAAGACGCCGTACGCTCGGAGATGAAACGCGATACGATGGCGCAATGAATTAGCTCCCGACTAGATTTCGTTACGGTTCGTTAGGTTTTTTGTATACACCATGGCTGCTGGACAGTCGGTGAAGAAGTTTATTATCATGAGAATAGACTTGAAATATTTTTTTTTAGTTTATATATCGTTCGTATTTACCGTCGTCTCGGTCGATGGCTGACGACAATAAAATGGATAATTAAGCCCACGCACAATATTTTACGCGTAACACGCGCGCAATGATGCACCCTTTATATACTTTTGCTATGTGTTCAAGTAAACTAATCACGACCGTGGTCTCGTTGATGTTTCAGGTATATCCATTCCAAGGAGAAACCGTTCAAGTGCACGGAATGCGGCAAGGGCTTCTGTCAGTCGCGCACGCTGGCCGTGCACAAGATATTGCACCTGGAAGAGTCGCCGCACAAGTGTCCGGTGTGCAAACGCAGCTTCAACCAGCGCAGCAATCTCAAGACTCATCTGCTCACGCACACCGACCACAAGCCGTACGAGTGTTACTCGTGCAACAAAGTGTTCCGGCGGAACTGCGATCTGCGCCGGCACACGCTCACGCACGCGGTCGGCGACGCACCCGCTTCCGGTGCATTGGGCGGTAGCGGCGCTGCCGCCTCGTCGTCCGCATCGCCCGCGGGCGCGGTCGTGCCTCGGTCGACAGCAGACGACGAAGACTTTCTGGACGACGACGAGGACGAGGACGAGGACGAATTGTGCTCGATGCTGCAGACGCCGTCCGATCGAAGTCGTCAGCAGCAGCAGCAGCGTCGTCGTGGCGACGAAGACGACGACGACTGCGGCGGCGGCGAGGACGCGGACGACGACGAAGACGTGGACGTGGACGAAGAGGACGCGGACGCAGCCGCGGTCGGCGCCCCGTCAGAGCAGTCCGCGCCGGTCGCCGCCGCGGCCGCCGGCTCCACTTCGGCCTGCTCGTCGAGCGTCGCGGAAACTGCCGCGGTCACGAAACAGGAACCGACGACGTCGTCTTCGTCGACGGCCGTGGACGCGGATTCGGCTACCACAGGTGCCGCCGACGACAACGAAGAGGAGGAAGACCCGGGACAGATCTCGCTGTTCCGGCGACCGGCCAGAGCCGCCGTCGTGCACGAAACGAAGTGTCACGACGAGTCGTCCGCGTACACCATGCGCCCGTCGTCCAGCTACTATCACCACCACAACCGTTACCAACAGCAGCAGCAGCAGCAACCGCACAACCACCATCAACCGCAACCGCTCCATCTATTCCTGCAGCCGCCGCTGCTCCACCATCAGCAAGTCCAGCAGCACCACCACGCCATGTTGAACGTCAGGAGAGACTTGCACGATCGGTCCACGAGAATGGTGATGCCGGTGCCGCCGCCGCCGTCACAGGCGCTGCCTTCGCCGCAGCCGCCCGCGTACCAGCCGCTTCAGTTCCAACCGGCGTCCGGTTCGTCGGTGGCCGCCGTGCCGCCGCCGACGCCGCAACAGCAACAGCCGCCGCAGCCACCGCCGCCGCCGCCGCCAGCCAATCAGAACAACCCGGCCCCGCCGAAGCGGAAAGGGTTCAGCATCGACGAACTGATGAGTTAACGCACGCCGCATGCCGACACACCCGGGGTGTCGCGATCGTCGGTTCACGATCGAATGTGACAGAATTCAATGTACATAATATAGATTACGAGATTTAGTTATATATATATATACATGTGTATAGATGTCGAGTGTGCGCTTTGTTTACGTCATTTGAATCATTCGCAGTACCAGTGAAAGCATTTACAATAATAAACGTCCGACGCTCGGGACTGGATTTCGAAGGCTCGCGACGGTATTTCACGTGATTTTAAAACGATATATCGCCGTCCAGATTTTATTTATTATTATTATGATTATTATTATTATTATTATTATTATTATTATTATTATTATTATTATCATCATTATTATAATATATTAGTTATTAAAATATAAATTATAGGTACATAGAGTATTCTTTTACCAGATATAGTATAACGTTATGTGCAAAATAAGTTTTTATTTTTATTTTTAGTTGGATACGTTAGAAACAAAAATATTTTTAAAAAAATTGTTAACAAATTGTAGATAGCATAATATATATTATTATTTTGTTTTAGTGATCTCAATACACTTTATTATTTCAATAACCATTCCCCATTCTAAATTAGTTTTAGGCGCAAACGTTAAAATGTTCTGTCGTTTTAATATTTAAATCGAATATACCTATAAAATAATCATAATATGGTATTATATTTTACGCGTTTGTATATTTTATTATTATTATTTATATATTATATTACTATTATCTTTAAACATAGGTATACATACCTACTTTTGTAAACAACTTTCATTATATAGACTGTTAAAGTTTAAGATTATTTTTGCATTTTATGGTTAAAATATATTATATATTATTATGTTTTTTTTTTTTATTGATAGAAGGAATGTAACGTTTTTATTATTTATATTATAAAGAGTTCCAATAATGGTTCCGCGTTCAAATTTGACGGAATCTGTTTTAATTGTTTGGCAATAAATAGATATTTAAATCATTATTTAATTATTTTTAATATTATATTAGACGATTTAGATTAATATGAAATTATTGTTTATTTTTAATTTGACGTTTATAAGAAATATATATATGTATTAATAAACTATATTTTCCAAAATAAAAGGACATTATGATTTGCGGATTACCTTCTCACGACTTACGATAGTCATGTGCTTTGTCGGTCGCCTGGAACCTAACCGAAGAACCGTATAGTGCATATACAGGTAAAACATAGAAATTGGCCGGGTAATTAACATTCATTTGATGTGTGCGTCAGATAAATCTTTCGGCCGTTTGTGACATTAAATTATGCAAAGCACTGCTAGAATGTGTCGAGATTTGAATAATTAATCGTCTATAACATAATTCAGTCTTAAATCCCTCTGCGCACAAAGGTCACGAGTAGTAATAATATTATTATTATTATTATTATTATTATTATTATTATACTATGTGAGATGTGTGTATCGGATTAAAGCCTGTGGAAAAAAATTAATATTCTCTCGCACGGGAGTGGCGGTGCGTGAGTAACACACCGAACCAGTTTATCCGTTCTAGTTGGGTGGGAGTTGTAAAAAAGAGCGCGTTTTATTTTTATTTTTTCATTCTCCACGCTTTACAACATGACGTGTTCGTCGGAGGACAAGTGCTGCGATTCCTTTATATACATACATACCACATACGGTATTATAATGGTATACGCGTACTAGCCATAAAAATATATATAGGTACAATAACGATAATGATAATAATGATAATCGAATCTCGAGGCTCGTCTCAGCATCCTTTTATGATTTTTTTTTTTTTTTTTTTTTTTAATCCAGTTTGGGACAATAAAATAGGCTGCGGGCCATGGACTATACTATATACTAATATAATACGTTGTGCGGCGTGGTGATGTCCGCCGTCGACCTCTCGTGCACTAAAAACACACATCGTAATTTGACGTTACATAATTCGATGTTAATAGTTTATATAAATTGTATATACACAAGTAGAGGGATGTTTATATATTGAGACCCGGGGGTAGAAAACCCTGGAGAGGGTAAACGCGGACGAATCCGAGAAGATGCGTGATTGAGCTCATCAAAATTTTAGGGTTATTTTTTTTTTAAAACAATATCGACAGCAGTAATAATAATCGATAAACCATATAATAATACGATGAATAGCGTGAGTTTATATACCTGTAGGTACATAGTGGTAGAGATCGATGTTCAACCGCCCTCCCGTCGCTCGAGGCTGACATTCGACGAGTATCGCCAAGACACTAACCACCCCCGTTATCGGGTTATACCTACTCAACGGTTCGTCGTGGTTGTTTTCAAAATTGGTAAAACCAAAAGGTCTGATTTTCGTGAGATACACGTTTTTATTATTATAATTAATTTTAGGTTTCTCTACGTTTTGCTATTCAGCGTGAGAATATCATGTTTTTTATTACATAAAGAGCAAACATAATTATTGTCATTGGTATAAGTTAATATTACCGAACTTCCGATGAACACATTATACAATCGTTACATACACATATAATTATAACTATAAAGTTGGTATGTATACAATATACATTTATAACACATGATCACTACATAAATAAATATACAATGAATTATATAATATATTGTACGTCTCACATATTCTAATTTTCAAGAGTTCAAGACGATTATTTAAAACGCCAGCGTACATCGAAATATTACCGACCAGGACTATCGCTTTTAGTGCAACCGAAATGACGTCATAACGGTAGGCATTATAAAAGAAAATATTAAAAATATGTAATATACACGACTAATAAAAATCATTCAAACCAAGTGCTTTGCGAGACAATAAAATATGTATTGTTGTTATACGTAGAATACAAAATATGGTTTACGGTATATGTCAAATAAAAAAAATTATAGCCGTATATACTTGCATATGTATATGACATACAAAATATATTTCATAGTACCTATAATATAATAAATGTATAATAACTAATTCGTATATTTTTTAATACGTTCGAGAGTGGACGTGAGTAATAAATATTTTATACGACGAGGCGTTACGAAAAATATGTATAGGTATTTTAAATGAGTATTATAGGTATTTTATTGGAAGACACATCACTAATAAAATTATAGAATAATATTTCTTTTTTTTTTTTTTGTTTGTTTGTTATTGCTGTTGTATCGATATCAACTTTTTCTATACGTTATACGTACATTATTAATAATTATTTAAAAAAATTAAATTAATATTACACTTATAAATGTAGATTATAATATTATAATTACAATACATATAACATATAAAAGCATCGCCCATTTGCGCCAAAAAAAATTAATTCGTTTTGGATACAGCCCTTTTGCACTAAAATAAAAAAAGTATATTTTTACCGACAGCCCATTTGCGCCAAATTTACCTGGTATAATCACAATAAATTAATATATTTTTTCCTTGAATAATAATCAATAAAATTTTATTTGAATTTTAGCCAATTGTAAGAATTTTTAAAAAATAATAATCAATTTTTAATAATACAAATCATTTTAAACAATAAGTAGGTAATAAATAGTTAATAAGTTTATATTTTTTTGAAAATTATAAGCTATCGGTAATAATAGTTAATTGTACGATTTTTTTAAAATAATAATCAATAATACACATTTTAATCTTCGTTTTTAGAAGTAGTGAAATGTATGTTGATTAATACTTTATGAACATCAGACACAGATTTAGGATTTGAAGAAAGATATTTTTTACGAGTACCTACGGTAAATACTTTTTCGTACAGCAATACATCAGATATAGTAAAATCTGAATTATTAGTTGTGTAGTTATCCTTTTCAGTTATTTATAAACTTATAAAAAATAACTTTTATATACATTACAGACACGAGTACACGACGTCTTTTAAATATACAAATTAACCAATTCGTTAATTAAAATGTTTGCGCAGGTAAATTTGGCGCAAATGGGCTATCGGAAAAATATACCTTTTTTATTTTCTCACAAATGAACTATATCCAAAACGAATTAATTTTTTTTTGGCACAAATGGGTAACCGCCACATATAATATTTCAATTTTTTATTGCATTAAATCATTATTTAATCTAATAATTGAAATAGATTATTTTAATTTATTAGGTTTACTTATTTTATCATGTTTATGGAATTACTTAATTATATTATATTTAATTTGTCGTTTTACATTCAATTTGTTAGTATATGATTTTAAGTTTCACATCTAATGCAGCTCTTATTTCCATAAAGAAATCTGAAAATTTTGCTTATACTCATCATTATGACCCCGAGTAGAACAATGATTATATTGGTTTTACAACAATGAACTTTAGTATACACACGAACAGCAAACGTGTGTGCGCCACTGTGCAGGTAGAATTACACTGTGTCGTTCAAACATAAATATCAGTAATATCATTGATAATTAAAATATATATTATAATAAATAAAATTGTGTGTATGATGAAGTGGGTGGAAGACGAAACTCCCGCTATTTTTGTTCTTAAAACTTTTTGGGCTCAAGCCCTATGTATTTGAGGACCCTATTAACGTTCACGTCATTAAACGATCGTATTTATTCCGGAAATGCGTAAATAAATACGACAATCGTTTACAATCCAACATACGAGTTTAATAATGGAGAATAATAATACGTTATCTAATCAATCGCTGCCAACGGTTAACACTTTTTTTTTATTTCGACAATAATTATCGCGCACGACGGCTCGTATAGTTACCTCGGTCTTGGGTGTAGGACAAAAATTAATAACAACTCGCGGGATATGAAACAAAAAAGTTCATAGAAACTAATGATACGCTGTAACCTCCACGCATTTACGATATAGACGGTGTATTTTGAATTCCGACAATGATTTCTTTACAAATTACTCGAGCATCAGCGCGGTCGTTAATCAAAAAACAAAGATTATTTAGTCCTGAAAAGCGTTGGAACCGTGTATACCCACATAGTAGTATATTATGATAAGTATTATATTTTGGACCGACTAACTATTTTTCGGCAACTGAATAATATGCAGAGACCTGCAGTGGCGTACCCAATACGGTAACACATACACATGTATTTTGCATTCACCTAAAGTAATTTCT